AGAGAGAGAGAGAGAGAAAGAGAGGTGCTCCCAGCTACGAAACGAGCGTCCAGGGACACACCAAAGAGGAGCGGGGAGCGGAGAAGGAGGAGTCAACTGAAAAACTAAGGCTCCAACAGGTTCCAATGAACCTAGAAACTGGCTTTGACCGCTCTGGTCACCTTGTGCCTTGCCGAAATGGCTGGCTGCTTTGACCGGTGCGGTCACGTAAAGGCATAAGCCAGCTTGGAATTCCAAAGATGAGACAAAGATCATCGTACGTACGGCCTAGGCCACCTTCGCCCGCTGTGGGCACTTACGTTTCCAGAGCAAGGGAAACAGCGACGTACACCCGTTCGACGGGTCCACGGGAGGCACTCTGCGGGCTCATCCCGGGTTGGCACAAGGCCAAACACACTTAGGATATGGTGTACTGAACTGAATGCGGTGCCACACGCCGGCCTAGGGTTCCATTTCCTAAGAGTATCGGTAGGGAACCAGCGAATCCTGGAGGTCTTCAAACGGAGAAATGGCCCAAAGAAGAAGAAAACGAACGACGGACGAACAGGCTGACGACGTTCCGCTCGCATCTGCAGTTCCAAAAGACATCAAAAGGACATCTAAACTTCGAGGTTCTTGGCTTAGCCTCATGCCATTCAGAAACGAAGAAAAATCGCAGGTACGCCAGACTGATCAGGTCTGGTATCACGACGACATGGATGGGTCTTCGTTGGCTCGTGCCACCCATGCGTCCACGAGCAATAGGTTCGGCATCCCCTGCTGTGACATAAACAAACCAGAAAAATCCAAAAGGATCCTATGATTCCAAGGGTTACACACACACACACACACACACATCGCACGTACATTGATGCTGGAACACGCTGTCACTATTTTGTGTCTCTGAGAAGCAACGCACACGCACAATCAACATGTGCTAGGTGCACAAAATGGACGAGGTAGTGAAATGTACATTTTGATGCTTGTCGTTCATTACCCAAGGGATTTCTTGTCGCAGACGCATTGCACCCTCTATGGACGCAAAGAGGCCTGGTGATTGGGATCCATTGGCCATTTCGCATGCCTTGAGCGAGGTACTTTCAAATCTGTAGATGTGGCAGCACTAAGGGCGCTGCTTGTCGTGCTGGAACTGCGTGTCTGGGTACCTTGCCACAAAAGCATCTGGAAGTGGGCTTAACTTGATTTCTCCTCTGCGCACAAGCAATCGCAGTAGCAATCCTTGCAGTCAAGCAGCGGGTCTTCAGTGTCAAATTCAGGGTTATACCAAGAGAACAGCGGCACTACAAATACTCCTGGAAAAGCTTTTAACACACAAGCAAGACGAAGCAAACCTGCAGACAAAGCAAAACAAAATTCCGCACTGCACACTGTCTTCAACATCTTGGACGTTTGAAAGAATTCAGCATGAGATTGAAGCTGATCCCCAGCGCCTTCAGAAATTGCAGCAGGCGCCACATCAATTCCAAGTCGGTCACACAACTGGCGAGGATCTCTTGTGAAAGTCAAAGTGTGCTGAATCTGAACAAATTGAACAATCCTCCCTTTATATGCCTCAATGTTCCTTTATGTAAGCCAAATTATATAGAGAAGAAGGGAACAGTCCTTTCAATGTCTCCCGGCAAGCACTCACCTCCAAGATAGCCCATAGCTTGCACAAGGAGTCTGGAAACCTGGGACAAGTCTGACATCAAGAATCCTGCAAGCATGTGCTTCCAAGCCCCTTGCATCTGCAGCTCCAAGGGAGTAATCCACATCTCATTGTTGCCAGGAGTGTAGAAAATGCGTCGAAATTTGGGCCGCAACGCAGTCCTCAGTGGTCCGGCTGTAGAGGATATTATCATGGAGTGGTCATTGCATTCAATTGAAAAGCATTCAATCATTGTGAATGATGAACAATTAAGGTCATAGAAGCACGGAAATGATTTGAACAATTAAGCTCATCTCAGTGCACGCTCCAGCGCTCTGAGTGAATCTGCCACGTTCCCTGTGAGGATGAGAACATCGTCCAGAAATTTGGTCGCATGAATGCCATGGACCCAGGCTTCATTCGAAGCATGCCCAAATCTGAGTTCAGAGAGGAGAAAGACTCGGCTGTTTCTTCTTGGCCTACAAGCGTCACGCAACAATTTCGTCCGTCGTTGCTTTGCAGCGGAGGAGAGCCATTGTGGCACCAGGTGCAAGCAAGCCTGCCTTCCTTTGCTGGCTGCCTGGTTTCTTTCCTCCTCTTTCAGAGCTTTTGCAAAGGCAGCGTATGCCTTTTCATTCTCTCGGCATCCAAGCAACGCCACGCCAAGGCGAGTGTAAGCTTTTGGATAGGTTTGTCCCTCTGCTAAAGCAAACTCAGCATCCCGAGTTGCTGCTGTCCAGCGACCTGCTCTTGCAAATGCCCCAGACCTGTTGGAGTAGAGAATGCATCTCAGCAAACTGTACCCATCTGCAGTGGCAGACTGTCGGGGAATTGCGGCAAGAGCCTCAGTGAAGCAGGCTATGGCTCCATGCCAGTCTCGTGCTCGCAAAGCCTCATTGCCCTGTTCCTTCCCGGCCACTTTCAGCGAGCTGCGTCGACAAGCCTCCTCAAGGCCTTCAAGGGCCTCATCACACGGGTCAAGCTGTACAGCTTTTCGCCATGCATCACAAGCTTCAGCAAAAGCGCCTAGCGCTGTAGCAGCAGCTCCAATGCGGCTCCAAGCTCTTCCCCAATTCGGACGCAAGAGGCTGGCTCGCCGGCCATCAAGCAGGGCCGCGTCAAAATGCCGCAGTCGGGTAAAGCAAAGCGCCCTGTTCGATAGAGCTGTCGCAAGTTCCGCCTGGTGACTGTGACTGCTGGGCTCATTGCAAACGTTGGCCGCGCCGTCATCTGAAAAGGGAACTGAAAAGGGCTCCAAACCGAGGCATTGGGCTTCTTTGGTGTAAAAGAGTTGGGCCTGGTAGTAGTCGCCGCGCTTGAAAGCCTCTTTTGCCAGTTGCTTCCAAAGCCATGGAGGTTGCTCCTGAGTGGTACCGGGTGAATCATTTGTAGATTGATGTGTCGCTCGCTTTGCTTCCAGCTTTGCTTCTCTTATCCAAACCTCTCGTGCTGCGCGCCGCCGGCGACGCTGCTCTCGGCGTTCCTTGCGGATAGCAGCAGCAGCTTCTTCCAGCTCATCAAGAATGTCCAAGTCGTCAAAATCAACCTCTTCACCTTGTCGAGATTCTTGAACCTTTTGCTTCGCCATTTGGATCACCTCACCACTATTCTCCTCACTGCTGTCCTCCTCCGCTTCAGAGATTTGCTCGGCTTGCCCTACACGCACTGAAATGCTTTTTGTCGATTGATACTCAGAAGCCGCTGGTTGCATGAGCAGCTGGCGGGGAAGCAGCTGGCGTGCTTGCGCCAGAAATATAATCGGCCCTTGTCTCAATAGAGGCATCAAATCATGCCTAAGCCGCATCCACTCCTCTCTGCCAACCTCAGAATCTATTGAATTAAACGGTGAAGTAGAGAATATATATTCCTGCCAAATTCTTTGTCTGTCAAATCAAACCAAGTGATCAAACATGCCATTGGTACGCGTTTTGCTCCAGTTGGACAGCACACAGCCACCTTGGTTCGCGCCAAGCATAGAAGTACAGCCAATATTGATTGAAGCATATTAAAGCATTAATAGCCGCTTTGCAACCTTCCTGGTTGCATGCAGCAAACAACCTTCCTGGTTGCATACAGCAAACGTGGCAACCAAGCAGGTCCAGGTTCCAGGCTGCATACACTGGAGTTGGTTGCAATTGGCTGGGACCACCTGCTTTCTGCGTTACAACACAAAGCAAAGCAACAAAGCCTGCATTGCACGGTCGAGACCATGCTTAACAAGCATGCAAGCCGGCCTGTGTGGGCATCTCGAAGTTGGTTGACATTCGAGTAGAAACGCCTCAAACCAAAGGAAAAAAGCTTAAAGGGGAGGGGAGAGAGCTTTCATGACGTTCACCCGGAAATCCAATTTAAAGAAGTTAGCTCTGATCCGCTATTCGAGATGTGCATGCTGGACAGAGCTGCAACGTCTGGAAGTTGGGTGCAATTTAAACATCCCCAAGTCATCAAACTCACTCGCCAAACCAGCGCATTGCAAGGCAAACTGAAGTTCAGAGATGTTAAATTTAAGACTCCCAGTTTTAAATTCGCACCAGCAATTTGTCCGTGGCACAGGAAGCAAGTTGGCTTAGTGAATAGCTGCATTGACCTTGGACCCAACATTGGAAATCAAGAACAAAATAAATAGCATAGGCTTCGGATGATTTCTTTGTACTTGGTTCATGGCTCATGTCCTGGAAAAAGTGGTTGCAACTCCAGAGTACATTCGACCGGTAGCTCCGCTCTTTGGTCTTCTCTTCGCAACCTCACAAACTCGTTTCACTGGCACAAGTTGAGTTACAATAATTTTTCACTAAACATACACGACACTCTAACACAGTCAAAACGCCAGCAAGGTCGATATGACATAACTGGAAGATGTTTTAAAATTGGAATGGATTGTGAATGTCACGTGGATTCCTTAAGATGGTCCGTAGGTGCATGTACAAATCTGCAGGTCTAGAACATAGCAAACAAAACAAGAAAAATCACGAACAATCAAGCATGAATTCGCCTATCTGGCAATGGCAACATCGAAAGGTTCACTAACAGGCGCCATGTCTTTGCCTTGAAGCACGTGGCGCTTTCCACTGCTCCAGGCAAACATCACCGCATGGCAATACGTTGCGCGTGTGTGCCAGCATGACAGCGCGGCGAGAAGCAAGAACCATGAACATCTGCCGCATGACCTGACATGGGCATACCAGCGTGACAAAAGTCAGCACGCTAGCATGACCTGTGTCAGCGAACCAGCATGACAACTGTCAGCGTGACAGTCTGGGAACACGTCGGCCTGACAGCCGGCATATACATCACGCTAGCATGTCTACATGTCCACATCAAAACAAGTTATACAAAATACCATTTTACATCATTTCTGCATATCAGCGTGAGCACACCTCAGCATGTGAGTATGACCGCGTGCTAGCACGCCAGCAAAAACAGCACGTCGGCATGCCAGCATGCTTGCAAATGTGGCAAGCTGGTTCAATGTCGACATGACAGCCATGTCAGCATGACACCATGCCAGCATGGCGACATTTCAGCGCTATGCCATGACAGTGTCAGCGAAATAGCATGTAATATCTGGAAAGCTGCGAAGCTTGGACCGGAACTCCGTGACCTGCATAACTTGCCCGGAAACTGGTTCGCAACTTCTCCGGGACCTGTTCAATGCTCCAGAACCTACTACAGACCCTGCTCTGGAACTTGCGCCGGGAACCTGCTCCGGAACTTGCTCCGGAACCTGCTGAGGTGAAGACCCCGTAAGCTTCACTGTTGGGGAACTTTGTTTCTATAGGTAGGACACCATCCAGTACTCTGGATAGGAATCAACTGCGTGTAGCTCACGCTGACCCCGGATGACTATAGGCATCCTTCAAGATTGGGGAGTACCTCAATCAGGGTCGCCAAAGTGAACATTTGGGAGGGCTCAAAAAGAACCTGCCAGTTTTGGATCATCCTGTGAAGCGCGCTTCGCACTTTTTGTCAAGACCTGGTCCGAAGCTTGTATGTCTTACAGGCTATTTGCGTTTAGGGATCACTTCCCTACCAGCTGATTCCGTGCCAGGTCACCCCTGGCCAGGCTCCGCCTTGCTTGTGGAAGCACAACGGGACATGCTCAAAGCCCTCAGTCGCCATGTATCCGGACGGTTTGGGCCAGGGGGTTCCAAGAGGTGTACTGCTGCTGGCTTCCCTGGGGAACTTAGCCACCTGCTTGTCTCGCATCAGAGCAGGCAGGTCGGTGTCTCGCTGGGTCCGCAGCCATGATGCACTGTCCTGCAGGATTCTGACAACGTGAAGAGGGTCCCTCCCGATGGCGGCCTGAAATGCAGCGAAAAGGCAACCCTTCACCACACCACAATGTTTGGCGGATGAGTGGCCATAGCTCTTTCCAAACCGCCGCTGCTCGCTGGTGTGCTGCTATCGGCCAACGCCGCACAAAGCCCCTTGAAGGACTATACTCCACCACGATGTTCGGGGCGTTCCGGAAAACATGCCACTTGCAAGGAGACCTTCGGAAAGTTGGTGGAAATGCCCCTGTCCTCGGTGGACGCGGTAAAACTAGCAGGGACGGAGGGCATCTCGAAGAACCGCGACTCCTCGGTGGCAGGGCTTCCTCCTGCAGCCTTTGGCTTCGGGGGCGCGCTCCCCTGCCCTTCTTGGTGGTCTTCGGCGCCGGCTCTTCTCAGCGGATCGCTTCCGCCCTTTGGCTGCGGCTGAGGGATGCCCAGGACCGTGCCGGGGGAGACGACCTGGATTTGGAGGCCCGTCGTCTTGGGTTCGGCTTCCTCGGACTCGGTTTCGGAGGGTGGGCACGATGGGCAAAGCAGGCTTGCGCGCAAGCTCGGCCGCTCTACAGGACGATGGCTCAATCCTTGCGCCAACTGTCTGTCTGGAAGCCTGCGCAGAAGGGTTCATGTATAGAGCAGCTTGTTGTTGATTGATGCAGGCATGGCGGACGCTCCGGCCGCTGCGCGAGTAGCTCTCGCGGCCTGGCTGAACTTGAATGCTCGCTGCGCCTGCTCAGCCGTGGTCTTCCCCTGCCACTCCGTGTCCATGTCCTGCCTGATCCTTCACTTCGCCAATCTCTGACGGTGTGACGACGTCCCAGGATTGATGCTCACGAAGGGCCAAACCCAGTTGGTAGGCCGCATTGAGTTCGAGCGGGTCAAACCCTCACCAATGGTGGGGCCCAATTGTCGCCAGCTGTACGAGGTCAAGTCCTTGATGTCCTGGGTGTGGCCGCCCTCAAAGATCTCCTGGCAACACTTCTGGCATTCTGGCAGCGCCCTCATCGTTGAACACAACGCCGCTCTTGCTCTGTCGCTCGGCGAGTGGATCACGTTCCCTGGCTCGAAAGCCCCGCCCGTCAGGGTCACTCGCTTGGTTCGACGCAGGGCCGGCAGTCTGCTAAGGGGGCCTGCGGTCAGAAGAAAATCCTTGGCCAAGGCCTCATCATGGCGCAGAGACTGCTCAGACTTCGCCCGAGCCTCAACCCATTGTAGAGCCAATGCCTGGCCTCCGGCACGTACCGCATCCTCGAAGGACTCGAAGGCGTAGGCCAAGTCGTCATCGAGCTGCAATCTAAAATGGTCTCGCAGGCATGTGTGGGGATTGGAATACCTCTCCTGGAGGGGAACCCACATGAAAGATCTCCACCACGGACTCCCACAGGACCAAAGCTGCGCCGCGCCTTTCGGTGAGCAGGGTCTGAATGTCTGAATGTGCGCCGAGAAGTCCTGCCATGCCGCAGGCGTAAGCATTTGGAGATCAGTGAACAGGGCAACATCAATCCCTTCCCGGACCCGCACTGGCATCTAAACTTCCGTCAGGTCACTCCTGAACTCAAAAAGAAGAACCTGCCAGTTTTGGATCACACTTGAGCCAAAATGGTGTCAGGTTATAATCACTCTGAGGAATGACCACTGTCCACCCTAGGCCTGCCAAACCTGAGACAGTAATAGGAAAGCCTAGTGAATGAGGCGCGGGCATTAACGGATGGGCGGCTGCACCAAATGGCCCAGATCTTTTCAGAACGCGTCTATCTGATGACAAACTTTTCGAGGCTCCATGCAATAAGAAAGTCTGCAAAGCGCGACTCTCCTCCTCTTCTTCACGAATTCTTTGCAATCTACGCTTCTCGAAGTCAGGGGCTTCATTTTCTGGCTCCGTTTCCGACCCAGGATCTGGCAAAGACTCTTTCCAACTAGCAGGACCCAAGCAGTTGCGGATCAAGAATTCTTCAACCTCTGCACGAGGTAGTTTTCGTCGTCGGGGAATCCAAGGCGCAACAGGTTGCCTGGCTCTAAACCCAAATTGTCCAAATCGATCTTGAAGAATCTCCACATCCGGCTCATTGCGCAGCACCCAAAGTGCTCTTTCTGTAGCTGACCACAGACCCTCTAGTGAAGCTGCATAACCACATAGCAAGGCACTGTGACCTCAGGAGATCTGATGGAAAACTGAAAGCAAGCAACCAAAGCAAAAAAAGAACATAAAGGCTTGACATGGACTATTCAAGGTCTGAGAAAATAGCACGCAGGCTCCCATAGCTTTCGGAGAAGACTCTCATGGCGGGCAGTCCCCGCCTCGATAGTGCGACCAGTGACAAGAAGATTTAAACAAATCCAATGTGAAAGCGGCTTTCAGCAATGCTTTCAGCTAAGCGACAGCTTGCAAGCAGGCGGTGAGGCCCTGCAAAGTGTGAGCATCAGCTTACAAATCTGAAACCACTCAAAGTCAGAGCAATTTTGCCGAAGAAGGCACCGAACATCAAACTTTACATAGATAGATAGACAGACAGACAGACAGATGGATAGATAGGTCGATAAATGGAGCGATGGAGAGATGGTGAAATAAATAGATTAGATATGTCATGTCCACTTTAGGACCAACTTTGTGCTACGGGGGCCCAGAGTGCACTCTCGGCAACTTTTCAGGCTTCACAGTGGTAATCTTGTCCCAACCCTTCCACTTATCTTTTGGACAGCTCTGTCTGGCTCTGGCCTCAATAAAGGTATCTGTACCAGCAAAAGCAGTGATGGCTGCCAGCAAGTCCCTCGCTCTTCGAAGTGTCATAGGTACCTGTTCCAACGATACATCAGCTGCATCGATATGTCTACTTCACGAAGTCCTGGAAGACAAACAGCCATTCAATTGTACTGTTTCGGGCACTTCGACTAGACCTTCTGCCTGAGAGGCCGCGTCATTAGGCTTTGGAACTCAGGAGACCCTCATTCATTCACAACACTCAGCACACTTGGTCCCTGGCTTTGCAGTCAAGGAGAACTTCTTCATCTGCGAGGAGAACCTCTTGATCTTCGAGAGGAGCATTCTGCTGTGAGCGCCTCATCGAAGTCCAGAAATTGTTTGACATCATTCTGCTTTTCAGAAGTTCATTGCAAAGAAAGAGGCATACTGACATGCAAAACACAAAAGTCAAACGGACTTCGCAGCCTCGAGAAATGATATATACTATATATATAGAAAGGAACGGTATTCAGAACGAGTTTAAAGGGAGTTTGATTTCCTATTGTCAGCTATTTGAGGTAGATAGTGGCCAAACAAAGCATCAAGCCACCAACGCCTCTTCACCAACACTCTGTGATCTTCAGGCCACTGCAAAAGCTCTCGGATTCCTTCCTTAAGATCCTGCAAGTAGCTTCAAAAACAAATGCCTTCTCAGAAAGGATAGCGATGAAGTGCTGAGTGAATTTGCAAAGATACCACTCCCAAACAGGTCTTTGGCACACAAGTGTGAGTCCCTCCCTTTGGTTGAATTTGGCATGCGAGCAATCTATTGAGGAAATTTCTACTAAGGAAGAGATCGCTACTAAGGTTAGTTCGAATCGTGTCAGCTTTGGTATGGGCCAACTCTCCTCTTGGGCAAGTTGATGTCGGTTTTCTTGTGGAAACGTTCATTGCGATTTAGAATGGCCACTCTAATGTTTGACTTTGACTCCGTGCTCCTGCCAGATGAGAATCTCACTATACCTCCTGCCATATGTTTGATGAGGCCAGGTGGCGTTTCATTCCTTCTGAGTTTTCACTGTTTGACATGTCGATTCTGTTTGCAGAGGCGATGCTTTTGCAACTTCAAACCGTGTTTTTGCAAAACATCACTCACACGCCGGGGCCAGAGGCTGACCGGGAGACCACGGCCTCTCCAAGGTTCAACGGCTATGAATTACATACATACACATTGACATGTTTGGGCGTGTGGGAAAACCCACGGTAGTCCCACATGGCTCTCTGTGAGCGCACATGTTCGATCTATTTCCGTCTCCTCTTGCGCGCTGCTGATGTGTAATCCGTTGGCTTCTGCTTGGATTGCATTACGCTTGAAAAATACAAAAAAACAACTCCTAAACAATGCGCAGGAAGCACCCGCTGTGCTTGTACAGTCAAACATATACAGTAATACCTCACCCTCAGCCCTTCATGTTTACCGCCACCTTCATTCAACCTGCCATAGCACCAGTGTGCATATTGAGAGTTGTAGCAGCTGTAGCCCTTAAGAGCCGGTTGCCCCGGTGCGTCCCCCCATGCCTGGTAGCGGTGCTTGTAGCCATCCAGTTTGGGTGGTGAGTGGGCATAGACAAATGTTTCGCAGATCTAATTCCCAAAAAAAGATCAGCTCTGCCGGCTCTGCGCACTCCTGAACAGTTGCGGGTGTCGGTACCTGAGTATCAAAGTGGCTGCTCGACAACGGCTGCTCCAAAGCACTTAAAGTCCCTTAGCTCCAAGCTCCCACAGAAAAGCTCAGCTTTGTGTAGGTCCTGAGTGTAGACAAGGCAGAGATCAAAAGATCAAACACAGAGATTCATCAAGTGATTTTTGTTGAAAGTCTCATAAGCTTTGCACGAGTGCACTTTCACCACCGAAGTCTCGTGACCTCGAACACCGAAACTGGATAGCTTGGTTGGCACACCCGCTTCAATCCATTTCTACATCACTCAAACATTTAGGTCCGCAGCTGCTAAGCCTCGCTGACACGCGAGCAGCGAAGCGGAGGTGGCCTGCTAGCCAGGAAAGTCTGCATGTCACGTTCAGGAATTGCCAAAATCCCGGCCTTTCTCACCGATGCCCTCTCCTTCAATGGACACCTTGGTACACAAACTGAAACTAAATGTTCAAGTGACATCCGTAGAAGCAAAGGTTCTATATACCGTAAACTGCCAAAATCAAGCGCTGTGCAGCAAGAAATGGGTTTTGCATTGAGCAGAGGCACATAGAGGCGAGCATTGGAGGAAGCTCCCTGGACAAAACAATCACGCCAGGCTAGGGCTAATAGCGGCTAATACGTCTGGCGCATGTCTCTGTAAAACGCCTAAAAACGCCTTTGCTCCTAGTAGCGAACCTTGCTACTACTAGCGTGGCACTTGTTACTACTAGCGATGCACTTGTTGCTGCTAGCTTCTTGTTATTACTAGTAAGGCACCTGTTACTACTAGCG